TGTCTCAATAATAAAAAAACACACATCCCTGCTTTTATTACCACAGTGCATACATGTGTCTGTGCACTCTCTTTTCCTGGGAAGTAATCATATCCAGTGTTTTTTTGTCTTGGTTTATAAAAGCATTCATAATTCCCAAGAAATTTTTCTGTGTGTTTCTGTAATTGTGGTTTTGTTTGTGGTATTGTCTGGACTGAAGCTCACAGGTTGCTTTAAAAAGCTAAAATCACTAACCTTTTCTTTTGCTTACACTAAAATAAGCTTGCTATATTTAGATAAAGGTGGCATTGTGGTTCAGTGCTTAGTAAATTCAAATTTTTACACATTCTGTGTAAAACATATAGTGGAGTAGTTGGCAGTTATTTCCGTTGTGGCGACCTCTGTAAAATTAATGAATGTAACTTATTATTATTATTATTATTTATTTATTTTTCAAGTAATGCTACAGAAACATCTTCAGATGCACAACATTTGGATACATCATCAGTGTTGTTTCCTGGACTCACGTGGTGTTTCGGGTCTTGCAACAGACACCCTCCTCCAGGCGACCCGACCGAGGCTGATCAGACCCTGGCCTGTGTCCAAGTGGCATGCTACTACCCCCACCGTTCCCCCCTCTTCAACCAGAGCCATCTGGATGCTTTTTCCGCTGCTTCCACGTTGTTGCTTATGGCTCTTCTTCGGTTTGTGCCTGTTATTCCCAGTGTACCATAGGCCTTGCTCAGGGTGTAGCTGGCAAATCCCCTACTGCCCACTTCCACTGGCATGCACCTGGTCCTCCATCCATTCACCCGACATTGCTCCACTAGCTCTTGGTATTTTCCCCTCTTCCTCTCCTGAGCCTCCTCCATCCTCTCCTCCCAGGGCACAGTTAGCTCCAGCAGGATTAATTGCCTTGTGGCCTCAGAGACCAAGATTATGTCAGGTCTCAACTTAGACTGGGTGTTGTGTGGTGGAATCTTTAGCTGCCTCTCAAGATCAACTGACATCACCCAGTCTTGGGCCTTGGAGAACAACCCAGCAGAGCAGATCTTTGCTGTTCTCTCTGGCCTTTGTCCTTCCTTGATGAACTGAATGAGCTTGGCCGTGGCTTGGCGGTATGGACTGTCCTTGATTCCCTTGCTGATTGCCTCAGCAATGGATTTAAGGACCTGATCGTGTCTCCATCGATACCGACCTTCACCTATTGCCTTGGAGCAGTTGCTCAAAATATGTTCTAGTGTCCCTGGCTTGGAACACAGCAGGCTTGCAGGTGTCTCTACTCTGCCCCATATGTACAGGTTCGATGGGCTGGGAAGAACGTCGTAGACCCCATGGATCAAGAATGTAATGATAATGTAATGTGTATTTATAAAGCTCATTGGGTGTATGGCCACACACGATAAAAGCGCTCCACAATAATGAGGTTGGGTCTCTCCACACCACCACCAGTGTGCAGCATCCACTTGGACGATGCGACGGCAGCCACAAGACAACGACTCCAGTGCGCTCACCACACACCAGCTATTAGTGGAGGAGAGAGACAGTTATAGAGGCAATTCAGTGGATGGGGATGATTGGGAGGCCATGATGGTTAAGGGCCGAAAGGGAATTTTGCCAGGACACCGGGGCAACACCCCTACTCTTTTATGAGAAGTCAGAGTTTTGCTAGTGGTATGAATAATTTCAGGCTTGCCTGTAAATAATAAAAGTCACTTTAGGGGAAAAAACGTAATTTTCCTATCGTTGTTGCTTTAGGTGATCGTTGTTGCTTTTAATTAAGGTGTCCTTCTTTCCCTCCTTTCTTCTTTCTTTCTTTCTTTTTTTTTCTTGCATCTTACCTCCGTTCATTCTTTTCTTTCCTTCCTTCTTCCTTTTCCTTCTTTCCCTCCTCTTTTCTTTCATTCTTTTTTCTTTCTTTCTTTTTTCCTTCATTCCTTCATTCATTATTTTCTTTACTTCCTCCATTGCTTCTTTGCTCCTTTATTATGTCTTTGCTCTTTCGTTTTTTCTTTCTTTCTTTCTTTCTTTTTTCTTTCTTTTTTCTTTCTTTTTCTTTCTTTTTCTTTCTGTCTCTTTCTTTCTTTCTTTTTCTTTCTTTCTTTCTTTCTTTTCTTTCTTTCTTTCTTTCTTTCTTTTTTCTTTCTTTTTCTTTTTCTTTGTCTTTTTCTTTCTTTCTTTCTTTCTTTCTTTCTTTCTTTCTGTCTTTTTCTTTCTTTCTTTCTTTCTTTCTTTCTTTCTTTCTTTCTTTCTTTCCGTCTTTTTCTTTCTTTTTCTTTCTGTCTTTTTCTTTCTTTCTTTCTTTTCTTTCTTTTTTCTTTCTTTCTTTCTGTCTTTTTCTTTCTTTCTTTCTTTCTTTCTTTCTTTCTTTCTTTCTTTCTTTCTTTCTTTCTTTCTTTCTTTCTGTCTTTCTTTCTTTCTGTCTTTTTCTTTCTTTCTTTCTTTCTTTCTGTCTTTTTCTTTCTTTTTCTTTCTTTCTTTTTTTCTTTCTTTTTTCTTTCTTTCTTTCTGTCTTTTTCTTTCTTTCTTTCTTTCTTTCTTTCTTTCTTTCTTTCTTTCTTTCTTTCTTTCTTTTTTTCTTTTTCTTTCTTTCTTTCTTTCTTTCTTTTTTTCTTTTTCTTTCTTTCTGTCTTTCTTTCTTTCTTTCTTTCTTTCTTTCTTTCTTTCTTTTTACTTTAGTGAATAAACTCATTGCCTTAAAGTTAAGTAAACGAAGTATGTGCATAATTAAAAAAAAAAAAAATTTAAGTCAACTTTATAAATCCAAGTTGCAATGGATTTACTCACTTTTTAAAGTTTGCTTTTTGTTTTGTTTTTCAACAACTCGTTGGAAATTTTGCATTTTGAAATCTTAGCTTTTTTGTGAACTTTAAAAAGGTTCTCCTGACATTAACCCTCTAGTGTGTATCTGTTATTCCTTCCCATTTTCTTAAAAGTAATCATATCCAGAATTCCCTTTGATATTTGGGGGTTTTGAAATTTACATACATGATAAAAACATCCATCCTTTCCAAGACATGCTGTATTCTTTCTGTATTTGTGGGTTTGCTTGCGGTATTGTCTGCTTGGATAGCTTTGGAAAACCTGAAACCGCTGTGAACTTTTGTTTATTTGCACTAACCCGTATGAGGGCAGCCTTGAGTAACCTCGCCCCCTTGTGTATCAAAGGAGTGATTCACATTGTTTTCAAGATGTCCGACTCTGATTTCTCATATTTTCTTTAACCACTTAAAACCTAAGAGCTGTGGGCAACAACAATTCTGATGCTGGGATCACAACAAACTCCACACCTTTGACATTTTGGCTCAAATTCCTTGGTTCCTTTTCCAAAACCCCAATTGGGCTTAAGTTTCCTTTTTGTGCAGGGAAGTGGAAGAAAGATAAGATGGCCCTGTCTGTTGTGAAGTGTCTGTAAAGAGAAGAATGCAGTCGCTCGTCAACTTTGAATGAACTCCAAATTCGAACACAAGCTCACAGACTTTTGCTTTGAAATGTGCTTTTATTTGCAGCACTGTGTGTTTGTGCACCTCGTCTAAGTTCTGTGTGGGCCGGATGTTCAATCTTCAGAATGGCTGCTTCCTGTACGCTTAGTTTGATTGCATGTCTGTCTGCACATTCTCTTAGATGCAGTGGTAATTGATGTATATAGTTACTTCAATTTATAGAATCTGGGTGTGGGGGGTGAATTAATTTTCTTGGCAGGTCAGATTTGATTATGATTAGTGTATCATTCCATCAGTGTGTGTGCATATAAATATAGAAATATAATCAACTGGATTATTAATTAGAGGGCTTTTTTTCAGCGTTTAGCCTCCAATGGTTACAACCCTTGATGACTTTTTATTAATTATTTCTACAATGTTTTTTGCCAAACTCAAAAAACATTGTAGATGTTGGTAACTGGTAGTAATTGACTTCCATAGTATTTTTACCACTGTGTGGAAGTCAATGAATGCCAACATTCTTCAGAATAGCTACTTTTGTCTTCAGCAGAAAAAATAGTTAAATTTAGTTTTGGCACAATGTCTTTATTTCCTGACTTTTCTTCTTCCACCCTTTCTCTATCTTTCTTTCTTTTTTCTTTTTACTTAATTTTTTTTCATTCTTTCCTTCCATCCTTCTTTGCTTTTTTTCTTTTCTTCTTTCCTTCCATCCATCCTTCCTTCTTTCCTTTCTTCCACCTTTCTTTTCTTTTACTTTCATTCTTTTCTTCTTCCTTTTCTTCCATCCTTTCATCCTTTTCTTTCTTTCTTTCTTTCTTTCTTTCTTTCTTTTCCTTCTTTCTTTTTTCTTGCATTCCCTTTCTTTTCTTTTCTTTTTTCATTCTTTCCTCTCCTTACATCTTTGTTTCCTTTCTTCATTTCTTTCTTTCTTTTTTCTTTCTTTCATTAGTTTCTCCTTTCTTTCCATCTTTTCTGTTTCCTTCCATCTTTCTTTTCTTTCTTTTTTATAATCCATCTTTCTTGCTCCATCTAATCCATCATCTTGCTTTCTTTTCTTCTATCTTTCTTTCTATCTTTATTTGATTTGATCTGATTAGTCCACATGGCTCTAAAAACAGGAGTAAAACAATACTTATTATTATTATCATTATCATGCTGGTTTTTCTGGTTGAAAACCAATTAAATTCTGTTGCTTTATTATTTATTATTACTGCTGATTGTACTAATATTACACTAAATTTGGATTTTAATTACTAAGTTATTCCAGTCTAATTGGACTTATTTCAGTGCTTCTCAGTGTTTGTCTTTAGTAACTAAGGTGCACATAACTTCACACAGAGTCGGTCAGAGTTATGTTTTTTTCTTCTGCTCTCTATTATTTTCTTTTATTTGTTTTTGTGTGTGCAAATAAAATCCTATAATGTCCATCCCTGCAATTCTTAAGTGGAATCATCTTATCTAAATAATGGATTACAGCAGTGACCCTGTAGCTTCTAGCTGCTGTTGGACATAGAAAAGTGTGCAGTTAAGTGTGATTTTGTTCTGTCTCTAATGTGTATATTGCTCTGTGTATTTAAGGTGTGCGTATGCTGGATGGAGAAGTCACTGATGTGGTGGAGGCTCAGTCTCTCAGTCTCAACCCACAACACATTGACATCTACAGCGCCAGTTGGGGACCCGAAGATGACGGCAAAACTGTGGATGGGCCTGCAAAATTGGCCAAAGAGGCTTTCCAACGCGGCGTAATAGAGGTTTGGCTTTTCTTTCATCTGAAGTTGTTGCAGTTTTTTTTTTGTCATTCACACCTGAAAAACAAACAGTCTGCATTTTTCATCTTTGTGCGTGCGTGCGTGCGTGCGTGTGTGCGTCAAGCCTAGTCATAATTTATGTTCTAAATTTTCCCACCCTCTCTCAGCCATTATAATTAATCAGACTATATTTAATGATGCTCTAAATTATATGGATATGCAAAATATGTGTTATCGTTGACAAATGTTTAACATGTCAGCATAGTAAACAACATTGTTCATCAAGCTGGATCATGTGTGCAATTTAATTAAATGTATCAAATTGTTAATGTTTTTACATATTAAATTAGGTAAATGCATCAAAGGCATTGCATTTTATGCAATTCAATCAGTAAATACTGATCTAATCAGTTTGTATTTGCACACAGAAATTAATTTTTTAAAAATATTTCTCATGTGATTTTTAACAGAGCAAGGAAACCTTTCAAAGTATTTCCTTATATATTTTTTCTTCCTTTTTTTCTGGAGAAAGACTCATTTCAATTAGATTAACCTTGTTATTAAACGTAGTTAAGCCTTTAAATTTTACGTTAAGCCGAAAACGTGTGGCAAAGAGAAAAGAAATCAGTCAAACTTATTTTATAATCCGAGGCATTCTGGCAGAGGGTGAAGTCTTGCAACAATTTAAAAAAATGTATTTGATTTCCTGCATCTGCATGTTTATACTTTCTCCAGCTTTGAGTTACAAATGTTTCAGATAAGAGCATCCTGTGTGCATTAATCTATCGTCCTCCCAGGTCTACTAAAGACTTTATTAAACAGTCTGGGGACTTGTTGAGCAGTCTTTTACCAAGAAATGATAACATTTGAATTTTGAAGGATTTTAATAGTCATGTTTGCTGCCCAAACGATTTCTTGAATCTCATTGGCTCTTTTAATTTGACAGCATGTGCAGGGGCCCACTCAAAACCATGGGCACACGTTGGGTTGTGTTTTGTCATACGGTTTATCAGTCTGCAATATTGCATTAGATGATATGGGATTTTCAGACCATAAAGCAATCACTTTTGAGAGCACTTTTACCCACGAAATAAGCAACTCATCTATTGTCTTCTGACGGTTTCATTGATAGGGGCTCTTCTATTGATCCGTTTAAACATTTGTACATTAATGATCAACATCTAACAATGCTAGAGAACCCTCCCTCTTATCTGGATGTTATCCGTAATAACTCATTGGAATAACTAAATAACAGCTGCACTTAGTTACACATAGTTAGTTTCAAACCTGTCTCTCTTATCTCTGACTGATGCAGTAGGCTGGTTAAAACTCAGCAGCTGTCCATTGGATATTTTCCCTTCAAAGTTTTTTTAAGTCACCATTGAGATTATTAGCCATTATTAATAAGAGTAGGGCTGTGCGGTTTGAGGAAAATATCTAATTGTGGTTTTTCATTTTTATTTATTTATTTATTTTGACAGATATTGCGATTTGGATTTCCAATTTAATCTTGTAGTCAAGTTTCAGCTCAATAATCTGTAAGCCGTGGGAACAATTCTGTGACAGCTCTTAAAAATGACCTGCTTTTGTTTGGTGTCTGTGACTTTGAAAGCAAAATATTCCCACATTACAAATGCTGGTTTTCTTTGATATTAATTCGTCTATTAATGCTTCTGAAGCAGCAGATGCCATATTCCCACTTGTCAGCGGCTTGTTTGTTTGTTTTTTATTATGGCTGTAGTTCATAGTTGCACAAATCTGATTGGGCAGAATGAAAGTGTGCTCACTCAATTGGCTAGTAAGCTCTGTCAATTCGTCCTAACTTGTCAAATTGTCCATTCAAAAAGTAGGTGGCATATTTTGATGACTCAATATGCTACCCATCCATTTTTGCTACCAGTGTAAATTTTAATGTATATTAGTGTAATATGAAGCTGTAATATTGCCTACCTAACCGCAACCTCAGAACCATTCAAATACAGTGTTAGTAGCATAATCTGATGGGTAGGATAAAATGTCAGGACACCTGTTGTCACACATTTGCTCTGCGCAGGAGAAATTAAATAATACATATATATTTCATATCACAGCCTCTTGCAATTATTTAATCGCAATGTTTTGAATTGCGATTGCGATTCAATTTTGATTTATCGCACAGCTCTAAATAAGAGTCTTGTTTCTTGAGGTGTGCCTTCACAACTGAAACATGCCATAGTGCAGCCTCTTCTGAAAAATGTCTTCGGACTGTGAGGGAAACCGTAGCACCTGGAGGAAACCTACGCGAATACAGGGAGAACATGCAAACTCTACACAGAAATACCAACTGACCCAGTTCGGGACTTGAACCAGCAACCGTCTTGCTGTCATGCGACAGTGCTACTCATTTAGCCACCATGCTAAAAACGAAATTACTTACTTATTAAAACTATTTGGTTTAAAATGCAATAAAATCTTGACTCTATTATACAGGACTCAGTAAATGATTGAAAATAAATTACAATTTCCCAGGAGGGTAATGTGATAATCATACATTTATTATAAACAATGAATCTTTCGAGTAGAATCGTTAGTCATTTGAGGTTGTTTAATTATTGCCTGAGGTTTTGATTTGGCATTGATGCCAAGAAACCAGTATAAAGCCTACACATTTCCCTAAATACAGAGGATTTTTATAATTAATTTATTTGTTTTTATTTACTTGAACGTCTACATAAAGAGCAATGAAAGAGGTCCAGTTTTCTATGCCATCTATATTTGCTTCTGTGACTCATGGGCTATTTTTGCTGTTTCCTGCCATTATCTACATCAATTGCTCCGTGCCACAAACAGTAGACGTGTTTTCATTGATATTCCTGTGCTGAAACTGCCCAATCTGTGGCTGAATTCGCCTCTTAACCTCAACACTTTTACCAGCAGCGGCATTTCAGAGGGCATAAATGTGCGCTTCAATTGAATTAAGTGGATTTGCTTTGAAGTCGGTGATGTCAGAGGAAGATGCTCAGTGTTTGATTTCGGCACACTTCATTTAAGAGAGCCTCGAGTCATGAAAGTGCTAACTTGTCACAGTGAAGTTTGTTTAATTTAAATGTCACATTAAATGGCAATCTTTCAGCGAGACGTCTTCATGTGGATTTTCCAGAGCGTGAACAGTATTGACATTCTTAATTCCTAATTACTTAACGCCATTTGAGCTAAACTGCTATCATGGAGCGGCATTAGTTTCAGCCCTTCACTCGCACATGAACATGCGCTGAGGTTTCCTGAATCTGGCCATGGCCCAAAGAGGGAGGACAATGGTGGAGAGCCTTGCCAAGGCACTTCCTACCTACCGCAGTGTGTCGTGGATGGATTTTATAGGAGCAGACCTTATGGGGAAAACGCTAGCAGGAGATTTGGTATGCTAGACCCACTGTGTGGTTACATTTCAGGGCTGATATGAATCACAAGCAATACTTAATGCTAAAAAAAAAAATGTTTTCTATTTTTTTAAAGTCTTGCTTAATGGATAGACGATATTATTAAACCATTTTTATGCATAATAGTTTTAATAACTGATTTCTTTTGTCTTTGCCATGGTGATGTTGCATAATAATTTTAATTTTCTACTAAAAGTGCTATAGAAATAAAGAGGAATTAAATGGAAAAACAATGTACCAAACTGTATTGCATTAAAGTTGCTGAGGTAATTTCCTAACTTATTTTATAACATTTAAAAATAATTAGAAAACATTACTTTAAATCATATAAACGAATGCAGAACATTCTCACAGTGCAGTTTATTACTAAATAGAAATACACTAGTCAAGCTGCACCTGCCTTTGCCTTGGTTTGCTCACCGATGTCTTGCGCAATTTCCTCTATTGCTCAGATGAGACTGAGAGTATTTGTGATTTACAAAAAATGTATTAGTTTACGACAATTAAGTTTAGTTTGCTTTGTTTGTACTCAACAATGCAACAAACAAAAGGTTTTGATAACACTTTAGTTTAGGTCACTATTCATGCTTTTAACTACTGGCTTATTACCTGCCAACTTAAGATATGAACTGTTTGTTATTAGTTATAAAGTATGATCTTATCATCCCCAATCCTACCCAAAAACAATTCATAAAGAGCTAATTAGTGGTTTATTAAGCTAGTAGTGTTAGTTAATGGTTTGTTAATATCATGAATTGTGACCTAAAGTTTCACCAAGGTTTTGTTAAATAAGAAATGACAATCTCTGACATTTCCTCCAACCACTTCTCTATCATCATCATCATCATCATCATCATCATTTTGTTCTGGGTGGCCCAATTAGAGGTTACCATTGGCCAGCTTTGGCCCCCAGGCCCTAGTTTGGTTGTCTCTGGTCTAAACTAATACGTAGAGTCCATTTGAGATTTGCAATGTTAACCAAGTAGGGTAAAACTAGTGATAAGTTTGTAGCAATGTTTGATAGTCTTCATGTTTGATAATTTTCTGAGCTATCTATTAGTGATTTTGCTGTAAACATCAAGTTTGAAGTCAATTTTTAGCAATCATTTTAATACTCCAATGACATTTATATGCCACAGACAAGAGATGCATTATGCAGAATCATTTCCAAATATACAAATCACATTAACATGACTGAATTAAATCAGATCTGCTGTTCTTTTAAAAGTACAGACACAATACAAAGTTCTCTTTTCATATAAATAAGTGGCACAAGGGCAAAAGGAAAAAGCCTGGTGTTTTCCACTGCCGTCCATTATTATCCACAATTTATAGTCATTGTTTCTAACGTCCAAACCATGAGTGTTTAGCGTGTGCCAGCAGATTTGTTTGGGGAAACAGGATCCATGTTGCGTGGAGAAGGCCAATGCAAATGGAGCTCAGTTCTGTGTAAATAAATGGCCACAATCAAGCAGGTGTGCGCCGTAAACCCCAAGACAGAGCCAAACTTTGACTTTCTCAGCACGCTATTTTTCTCCTGCAGACTTTTTTTATTTAGTGCATTGTTGCAATTGTAAGGTACAGTATAAAGAGCAGCGGCGATCAAAGATAATGAGCAAACAGCATCTGAATCAGATTATTTGCGCTGCTGGCAACATGCTGAAATGAAAGTCATACGGCTATTGAAACATGCCTCGTTAATGTGCTGCGTGCATTTTTCACGAGCTCATTATCGGCCCTGACAGTTTGCATTACTGCGCTTCATATGACCGCAAAGAAAAAGACCAGCGCTGTTTGTGTCTTTCATTTGCGCCTGAAAATAAACATGCATGATAAATGACTTGAGAACATTAGCGTCGTCCCACAAGGTCCTTTTAAAAGCATCTGGTCCAAACCACGATATCGCTTCAATAGTCCGTGACACTTTGAACATCCTTTCTGGGAGACCCTCTCTTTCAAATCCCACTCATCACAAATATTATCCAGTTGTTTTGGGTATTGTCACCGGTAATCCTCCCGTCTCAGACTTGGCAGCGCTGCGCTCGCATCTGGCTTTTAGCATTAGACTGCATGAAGAGAAATGCAAGCACTTAGGCTACATTCAAACTGCAGACAAATATGGCCCAGATCAGATTTTTTATTTAGTTATTTTTTTGTTTATATCTGAATAAAATGTGTTTTTGTGATGACCGTGTGAACGGCACAGATTGCATGGAATCTGATCTTTTCCAATTTGTTCCACTTTTGTACGTGAAATTTTTTCGAAGGAGATCTGACTGCAGAGTTTTGCTGGAATTCATGCAGCATAACATGCATAGCAGCCTTTTTTGAACATGCATCATCATTCTGCACTGGCACATACTACAGATGTCTTCTTATTATTAAGTTTCAGACATTGATATACACATTAATACTGACAAAACAATCATTTATCATTCATAAAATACCGTGCTGTAGTCTGGGAAGTTGCACTGGGTTAACACTTTTACATTTAAGTACAGCAGTTTTTTTTACCTTTTAAGAACAGTAGCCTACCATTTTTAATGAACTTATAAAAGCACATGTTAATTTAAATATTAAGGTTTTATTTTCTTTGTTTGTCTTTTTACATATAAGCATAGTACAGTGTTAATGTTCAAACTATTTATAATGTTTAAAGTGGCTGATAATTAAACAAATTCTTAATAATAGTAGTTAATCTGCCACATTTTTAAACTATGCAGAGCTGTTGCTGCTTTACTGGGCCTACTTCGCTATGTATTTTAATACTGGTTATTATTGTGGTACTTGAAGAGACTTTTTTTTTTTTTTTGAGCTGGTACTTGATAAAAAAAAGTTTGAGAATCACTGCATTATAGGCTTAAATTTTAAAGAGAAATAACAGATGAACTAAGACTGCAGTCAGATCATGAAGCAGATCAATGTTGATCTTTCTTTCGAGGTGTCAGTGCGGAAATGAACAAAGCAATAGGTCTAATATAAAATATTATAAGATTAACATATGGAAAAACCATCAGATGATGATTTCTGTCAATTTTCCTTACGAATAAACAGCACTCTGTAATATTTCAGCATGCTTTCACTGTCATATTCGACAGGAACCGCACATCCACTGGTATGAATGACATCCCGTCCTACCCAAAATTATCTTTTCATATACAGCTGCATGTGTGTGTATATATGTATATATGTATATATATATATATATATATATGTATATATGTATGTATATATATATATATATATATATATGTATATATGTATGTATATATATATATATATATATATATATATATATATATATATATATATATATATACACACACACACACACACACACACACACACACACACACACACACACACACACACACACACACACACAGTATATGGCTATTACATAACCATAATACAGTGTGATTTAACCTAGTTTGTTGGATCGTTTTGCTTTCTTACTACAATCGATCCACTTCAGAGTTCGTTACAATCAAGCCAATACCAGCTCATTCAGGAGATCTCGGGCCAATGGCACAAATCTGAGCACAATTGCGGGTTTTACATATACCAAACGAACCGTATTAACTGGAAGAGAGAGATTTTGAAACAAATGTCAAATCTGAGGTAAATTGTACATTATTGCTCTTTAATATTATGTCAAGCACCATTGCAGGTTTTTTTGCAAAATTCATTGTAGGTCATGGAAATTAGCTTTTGAGTCAATGAAACTTGAATTGAATGAAGAATTTGGCATTTGTCCGTGAATGGGAAACTTTTAAGCATAATTTGACAATATCCTTTATTTGCATCCCAGCAGGCACACAACATTAATACTAGATTAGATTTAGGTCGTGACGTCAGCTGACCCAAAGTTCAATGTTTATCCAGCATTTAAGCACACACGCACACTTACGCACATACCAGTACCTGACTATATTGTTGTTGTTTTTGTTTTGTTGCTTTGTATTTGTTATTTGTTGATGGTTTCTTGTATTTGTATGATTTTTGCATATTCTAATAAAAAAATAAATAGAAAAAAAAGACAACTTTATTTTGATGTCCAATAATAACGTCAAATGACGTTGATATTTGATTGATTGTGTTGGAAATTGACAAAATCAAACATCGAGCCAACATCTTAAACTAACGTCGTATTGATGTTAAATACTGACAAATCCAATGTCTGATAGACGTCATAGTAGTAACGTCCACACAACTTCGAGCTGGAACATTAGCGTTGACATTTGGTTCATTTTAGTTTGTATGTTGGTCATTGGCCTATTCTTGGGTTCTGATGTCAACCCGATTTCACAACATCACAGCTCATCATCACAGGGATCATGTACATTGAGTAACTGAAATGTTTCTGCTGCGTCTTTTGTCTCTGTGGGTCAGTTTAGGGCCAGGATTAGTGCATTCTGGAAAATCAGATTTTGCTCATATTTAAAACAAGAATGTTTCTTTTCCTCCTGTAATTTTAGGGCCGTGGTGGACGGGGCTCCATCTTTGTGTGGGCTTCGGGGAACGGTGGCCGCATGAAGGACAGCTGCAATTGCGACGGCTACACCAATAGCATCTACACTCTGTCCATCAGCAGCAGTACGCAAAACGGCAACGTGCCCTGGTACAGCGAGGCCTGCTCATCCACCCTCGCCTCAACCTACAGCAGCGGAGGCGTCAATGAGAAACAGATTGTGAGTCCCTCTTTCTCTCTCTCTCTCTTTCCGCCTCCAGAAAATCAGCAACAGTTATCCTTTAATTGAAGAAGTGGCGTAGCGAATCGATTCCAAAAATAAAGGAGATCAGAAGATAAACTGCCAAGCCAATTCATGGAAAAAATACTGCAACGGCTTTAAAGTTCTTCTAAGCTTTTTGGCTGTCAATGAGTGTTGTGGTCACTAGTGAGGGTGGAAGATACTGGAAATGTTTTTCTTCATTGTGGCCCTTCAAGTGCTTGAAGCTTCAAAAAGCGTAACCTTTCATGCATGGCTCGGTTAAATCTTTGTGTTTGTCAACAAATCAAAAAAGACTTAACAGAGTTCTGTTGGTCTTGTCTATGAAACTTGATCTTTACTTTGTGTTTTCTATTGGATTCAAATCAGGTGATTGGCTGGGCCATTCTACAGCTTGATTTTCTTACCCTGAAAGCATTTAAGAGTTTCCTTGGCTCTGTTTTGGATCAGTGTCTTGCTGAAATGTCCACCCTGGTTTCATCTTCATCCTCCTGCTAATTTAGATGTTGGACTGAAGCAGCTAATATTCATTTACAATAAGGAAGAGCAGAGGGTTGCTGAAGAACTACTGAGAGACTTCAGCTGCTGTCTGGGCTTTCACCACCTTTCTAAACCTTCCTTTCTTCATGTGTTCACCCTGTGCCATTTCATTTGATTATACATAACTTGATTTGGAAACTAATTGGTTTTGTTACTATCAACATCCAGGAAAATTTAAAAGGCAACGCCACGTTTAGATGTATGTTTTCTTAGAAAAATGGTGATGTGTTTAATACTTATTTTCCCCACTGTATGTTGGTTCATGCTATAGACTTCCATCCAGTATTTAAATTATACTTCATATACCATCCAATTCTGTATTTCTAAAGCAGTTCGTACACAATTTTCATCATGACTACCTGTAGTATGAAGTGGGAAGGTTTATTGGTTTTTGTTTTTTTCTTTGTTTTTAAAGAACACAAGTTATTTTCCCCTGATGTCGAGATGAAAACATTATCATCATGCAATAATTGTGATATTAATGTTGCAATATCGTTGATGGAAATAGATGAAAATAAAATGTAAATTCAATCATTGCAATCATGATTTTGAGCAAATATATATTTTCTCTGAATACCACACATCCTCTTAATTTGTACTTTTTCCTGTTTATTGATTAAACATCTCTTTAAATTAAGAGACAACATCTCCCTGCTATGGACAAGTTTTTACGGAAATCCATGTTTTAGGTATATTATGTTAAGAAACCCTAGAGCTTGTCCTAAATGAGTTATGGGATTTCTAGGTCTTCTATGTTGGAAATAGAAAGTGTAGATCATATATTTAAAAAAGAACATGCATGTAGATCAGATCAAATGTTAAGAAATGAAGAGGTGTCCAGCTAAACAGGCAGATGTTGATGGACTCTGATCCCTCATGTTTTGGATATTTTAAAACCCATTGGGATAAAGAAGTGCTTTAGACACAATTGAGATTACTTTATACACAGAATCTTCTAGATGTATTGAGGATAGCCTGAAAACCTGCCGATTTCACACTCCTTTCCTTTGGCTTTTTCCCTTCTTTATCAGAGTTTACCACAGCAGAATGATCAATGACATACAAGTTATATGTGTGTATGTGTTTTATACATACAGTACATGCACACACAGACAGAGGAGCATATATATATATATATATATATATATATATATATATATATATATATATAAATATATATAATGATATATGATTAGTTTTTTTGTCAATTTAGATTTTTTAAGAAATCAATCAAGTGATAAAACATGTGGGATAGACTAAAAAGTTTAAAAGCTTAAAAGAGGCTTTGTTGTTTATTTTGATACATAATATGCTCATATATTTGTAGCAGAAAGTATTCTGAAAGCTGTAAAACTCAGTTAAAATCATACAAAATGCTGCCAGTGACTGGCAACTAAAAAAAAAAAAAAAACTAACGCTGATAGTGAAAGAGGTAAAGGGATACAGTTCACCCAAAAATGAAAAATGACTCAATATTTACTGTCCCTCTAGTGCAGGGGTGCCCAAACTTGGTCCTGAACACCGGTGTCCTGCATTGTTTAGCTCCATCTTGCCTCAACACACCTGCCAGGACATTTCTAACAAGCCTACTTGTATAGCTTGCCCAGGTGTGTCTGATCTGGGTTGGATCTAAACTATGCACGGCACCGGCCCTCCAGGACCGAGTTTGGGCACCCCTGCTCTATTGTTTCTTTCTTCTGTTGAACATTAAAGATGATATTTTGACACAACGCCCTTTAACCATTGACTTCCATAGTAGGATGAACCAATACTATGGCAGTTAAAGGTCACAGGTTTCCAGCATTTTTCAAAATATCTTCTTTTGTGTTCAACAGAAGAAAGACATTTGGGTTTGGAACAATTAAAGGGAAAGTAAATGATGAGAGAATCTTCAGTTTTGGGTAAAGTGTGATGAAGTAAGATGTAAATAAAAGTACATTTTCTTGACTTTTTTATTGACCCCAGAACAGAAGCACTCAAAAATGCTTTAGCAACCACAACAACACTCTGGTGCAATGCTGATGAGATTTGTCTGGGCAAACAACCTTAATAAAATGTTTAACTCCATTTTCAAAAACACACACACACACACACACACACACACACACACACACACACACACACACACACACACATCCCTGTGATTCAAAACAACAACCTCTCTCTGTCATAGCGTGACATTTATTTTTCTTTTGTGTCATTCGGTATTTGTTTCTTCACCCGGCTCAGTGCCGTCCCAGGCGCACACCCAAGCATTGTTCCTCTAACCGCCTGTGCCTGACTGAGTCATCCATTGTCCCGCATTCAAGAAGACACAGACACCAGTGTTTACAATAGTGGTGTGCTTTTTTTTAAAGGACAGCAGCCTGATAACCTGCTGTTCCCCCCTCCCTGCAGCAGACTCCACCAGGCCATTTCCCTCTCCTGTGGTCTCCCAGGATCCATTCTTAAGTGTGCAATTGCCGAAATGGCCTGTCATCGCTCCTGTCATTCAGCCTGTCTGCCAGTTTTAGCAATTAGTCTCACACAAGGAGACCTGTCGCAGTCAGTGCACATCCTACCATGCCTGACTTTTTAAGTGTCACCCGTCAAGCCTTTTATGTTTGCATTTGTCTAGCATTGTCTTTGCTCTGTCGGTCTGACCTCCGGGGCTAAAAGATGATGGGCTTTCCTTCTTTTATACCCGCATTTAAATGAACCGCCTAACAGGCAGGAGATTAACAGCAGGTTTTATAGAGTGTTTACATTTTTTTTCTGAGGGATATTTGAAGGCTGCTCCTTGATGCACAAGTTGTTGCTAAGGCATTGATATTCTGTTGCTAGGGTGTTCTGGGTGGTTGCTTTTTTTGACCCAAGTGGAAAGAAGCTCCAATTCCCAAGTCAGTATGGAATTGTGGTGCATAGTCTGTTGGATTTTTTTTTTTACACCCAATTTGTTCACCGGGCAAAACTGTAAATCATATCAGTTTGGAAAGTAATAGCAGACCGCTTCTCAACAACTTGCATGATTTGAGGTGTCAGTCATATTTGTAGCATGAATAGATCAGGACTGGTGGCGTATAAAATGGGTTTTATTTGAATTATTTATTATAAATGTTATTAATAAAAAGCGATAATAGCATTTTAATAATTATTAATCATTTTAATAGAATTTTAATAATTAATAGTATTAACACTGATAAATGAAGATATTTATTTTAAAAGAAGATCAGTCTCTTCTCCCTCATTCACACTAGCAGCGACTGTGGTTGGCGATCTGCTGCAAACGGAAGTTCTGTGTAGGTCTACACTACCTGACAAAAGTCTTGCTGCCTATCAAAGTTTTTGAAACAACAAATAACAACTTCTAGTTGATCAATTATTATCAGAAGTGGCTTATCTGAAAGGCAAATGCCTTTAGATTACATTTATTTTACTCTAATAAAATATGATCATGGCTTGATTTTTAATTATTTAATTAGGACAGTAAGGTCTAATTAAGGTCTCTGAAAATAAGGTATTGTTTAGAATATAAAGTCATGCTGCAGTGGAAAAATAATGAAAATTGTGTATGACTCCCATGAGCTTGGAGGACTGCATCCATACATCTCTGCTATGACTCGAATAACTTATTAATAAAGTCATCTGGAATGGCAAAGAAAGCATTCTTGCAGGACTCTCAGAGTTCATCAAGATTATTTGGATTCATCTTCAATGCCTCCTCCTTCATCTTACCCCAGACATGCTCAATAATGTTCATGTCTGGTGATTGGGCTGGCCATTTCTGGAGCACCTTGACCTTCTTTGCTTTCAGGAACTTTGATGTGGAGGCTGAAGTATGATAAGGAGCGCTATCCTGCTGAAGAATTCGCCCTCTCTTGTGGTTTGTAATGTAATGGGCAGCTCAAATGTCTTGATACCTCAGGCTGTTGATGTTGCCATCCACTCTGCTGATCTCTCGCACACCCCCAAACTGAATGTACCCCTAAACGATGATGTTTCCTTCACCAAAACTGATTTCTGTGAGAATCGTGCATCCATGCGGGTTACAATAGGTCTTCTGCAGTATTTGTGTTGGTTGTGATGCAGTTCAGCAGATGATTCATCAGAAAAATCTACCTTCTGTCACTTTTTTAAATGATCAACTAGAAGTCAAGTTAATATTTGTTGCTCTTACAACTTGGATTGACGACAAGATTTGACAAGACAAGCTCTTCTGGTGCTCCTATTGACTTTTGCACAATAAAGTTACTCATCATTTACTCATTACTTATTGCATGAAAAATAAAAATACTGTCAATTTAGGACTTCAAACCTCAGAACCTAAAGCTGACCAAATGACTATATTTGATGTGAATCAATTAGCACTCTAAGCCTGCAGCCTGCAGACATGATATTTCTTACAGCTATTTTTAATTATCAACACTTCATCGGTAGTTAATCTCAGCTGCCTTGATTGAAAATAAGGTGTTAAGTTAATTTTTTAAAAAAGTACAATTTAGGGATAGACTTCCATAAATGAAATCTGTCATCGTTTTGCTCAGCTTTGACTTGTTCAAACTTTTTTCCTCTGTTGAACACAAAATAATGTTTTAAAGAAAGCTGGAAACCTGTAACCATTGACTTCCATAGTATTCCATAGTATTCCAGTAAAATACTGGATTTCGGTACCAATTGATACTGAAAAAAAAAAAAAACATCTATTTCCTGTTAACATTTGAGTGCTGTTCAGCTCGTTCTTAAACAGCGCTGATTTGCCATTGTGTTCACATGCTCAACAGAAATGGCCGTGAAGGTCTTCAGTTCAACAAACTCACCACTGTTTACTGAGTTTAACCATTTTACATTTACATTTACATTTAGTCATTTAGCAGACGCTTTTATCCAAAGCGACTTACAAATGAGGACAAGGAAGCAATTTACACAACTAAGAGCAACAATGAATAAGTACTAAAGGCAAGTTTCAGGTCTGTAAAGTCTAAGAAGGGAAGTGTTAGTAGTTTTTTTTTTTTTTTTTTTTGTACAGTTAGTTAGTGTGATATTCAAAGAGGCAATTGCAGATTAGGAAGTGAAGTGGAGACTAAATAGTTGAGTTTTTAGTCGTTTCTTGAAAATAGCGAGTGACTCTGCTGTTCTGATGCAGTTAGGGAGTTCATTCCACCAACTGGGCAGATTGAGCGTGAGCGTTCGCGAAAGTGATTTTTTCCCTCTTTGGGATGGAACCACGAGGCGACGTTCATTCACAGAACGCAAGTTTCTGGAGGGCACATAGATCTGCAGAAGTGAGTGCAGATAAGAAGGTGCTAGGCCAGAAGTCACTTTGTAGGCAAACATCAGAGTTTTGAATTTGATGCGAGCAGCAACTGGCAGCCAGTGCAAACGGACTAGCAGCGGAGTGACATGTGCTCGTTTAGGTTCATTGAAGACAACTCGTGCTGCTGCATTCTGGAGCAGTTGAAGAGGCTTGATAGAGTTAGCTGGAAGCCCAGCTAGTAGAGAGTTGCAGTAATCCAGTTTGGAGAGAACAAGAGCTTGAACAAGGAGTTGAGCTGCATGTTCAGATAAGAAGGGTCGGATCTTTCTGATGTTATAGAGTGCAAATCTGCACGATCGAGCAGTTCTAGAAATGTGGTCAGAGAAGTTTAGTTGGTCATCAATTGTTACTCCAAGGCTTTTCACCATTTTGGATGCAGTAATGGTTGCCCCATCCATCTGGATTGAAAAGTTATGGTGTAGAGTCGGGTTGGCAGAAACTACAAGCATTTCCGTTTTTGCGAGGTTCAGCTGAAGATGATGATCTTTCATCCAGTGTGAAATATCCAACAGGCAGGCTGAGATACGAGCTGGAACCGAGGGATCATCAGGATGAAAAGAGAGGTATAGCTGGGTATCATCAGCATAGCAGTGGTAGGAGAATCCATGTCTCTGGATGACTGGTCCTAGAGATGATGTGTAGATGGAGAAGAGAAGTGGCTCAAGAACAGAGCCTTGAGGTACCCCAGTGTTTAGATGCTGTAGGTTGGACACCTCTCCCCTCCAAGACACCCTGAATGACCTGTCAGAGAGGTAAGATCTGAACCATTGTATAACAGTGCCCGCAACGCCCAGTGACTCAAGCGTAGATAGCAGGATCTGGTGGTTGACAGTGTCAAAAGCAGCTGACAAGTCCAGCAAAATGAGGACTGATGATTTAGAGTCTGCTTTAGCCAGTCTGAGATCCTCCACGACCGAGAGCAGGGCAGTCTCAGTTGAGTGGCCTTTCTTAAAGCCGGATTGCTTGTTGTCCATGAGATTGTTTTGAGTAAGAAAGTCCAGGACTTGATTGAACACTACTTTCTCCAGAATCTTGGCCATGAATGGAAGCAGGGATACTGGTCTGTAGTTTTCAAGTAGCGTATGGTCCAGGTTGGGTTTCTTTAGCAGTGGGGTTACCCTAGCCTGCTTAAATGTAGTGGGGAATAAACCAGAGTCAAGAGATGTGTTAATTATGTGAGTCAGTGTTGGTATGACTGCAGGAGAGATGGCTTGCAAGAGATGAGAGGGAATGGGATCGAGTGGACAGGTGGTTGCATGGCTACAGATACAGGGACACTGGAGCGTTTCAAATTCATGTCAATCACCTGGTTTATCTACTGTATTAGCTGACATACGAGTGATCCGTTGATGAATTGTGGCCTTCATGGTCATTTCTGTTGAGCACTAGAACACAATTGCAAATCAGTGCTGTTCAAGAACACACTCAACAGCACTCAAATGTTAACAGGAAATGGACGTTTTTTTTTTTTAAATTTCAGTACTGAATTGCAGGATTGTGACAACACTATGCTAGTAGTTGGCATCCATTGACTTCCATAGTGTTTTTTCCCCTACTATAAAAGTCAATGGGTGTCAGCAAACCAGCATTCTTCATACAGGTCTAAAACCACATGCGGGAGAGTAAATGATGCGATAATGTTATTGTTGCGTGAACTGTCCTTTAAACTGAGCTTTCCCCTTGTAAATATTTCATCTGACATACTGAAACAATTAAGTTAAAAGTTAAAATTTTGATGTGAAAACGACAGCTTTTCCTAGGCCCAATCCCAATTCTACTCCTGAAGCGCTACATAGCCCTCGAAACAGAAATTTTCCAGGACCACATTTGAAATCAAGGAGTATGAACATTTGTACACCAGCTACAATGACAACATTGCTGCACACGCGAGTCAGGAGATACACAAATGAGTTTTTTTTTTTTTTGCCATTATTAAGAATTTTTATAAGCAAGCATGTTTTAATATATTCATAACAGCGTTCGTGTTTTATAGTTATACTTTTTTTTTTTATTGTAAAAAAAAAATGCTAAATTTGGCTATCTATAATCCATAATATCAAACTCCTGTATAGTAGTCCCACAACATACCTTCACATCTGTCACTCGATGACACTGGAATACCCTGTCAGAAAAGCCCAGTGGCTGTTAATGAGCTTTTTACAGTGTCTGGTACAGCGCTAATGTTGCTTTCTTGTGTTTACGCAGATGAATATCGCCACGGTGTATATTCACAGTACAGTTATGAGCTTATTGCCACATTATATCTTTATGATAACATGATATCATTCCCTTTGGTGATTTCCTGAAGATAAATGTAACTGGAATAACTACAGCAGTTTCATCGTTGGTCTTGACGAGGTGGTGATGGTGTTTTAGTGCTGTCCCATTTCCTCAGAGTAAATTTGAAGCTCTTCACACTCCGTTTCAAGGGCCATGAGGAACGGTTAAAAAAAGAGAATTGGGATTGGGCCTTAATATCTAATTATTTATCTAAATTCAACAAAGCTGATTTAAGTTTCAAGTGATTTTATTACAATAATGTGATCATTCCTCTAATATCATGAGCAATGTGAAACATCCAACTCTACTTGTGCTTTCAGGTCACTACAGACCTCAGGCAGAAGTGCACAGACTCCCACACCGGCACCTCGGCTTCAGCCCCTCTGGCAGCAGGAATCATCGCCCTCGCCCTGGAGGCCAAGTAAGTCGTCCAGAGCTCGGTCTGTCCTGTCCTGTTCTGAAGCGAGGTCATCTTTCTTTATCAGCGCTTTTTGAGTCACCCGAGGCTTTCTAAAAAGACAACCCTAGACTAGAGTTAACCTTCAGATTCTCATTCGGAGCAAACGCATGCATTGAGCTGCATTTTCATTTGTATCTTCCTAAATTAATTCTCCAGCAACACCATAACCTTTATGACTCTACCTGTAGCCATCCGCGACCTTTATTAAAGGGCAAGAGAGATTATCTTGGAAAGCCGTGAAGCATGCGAGCGGTTTTTGTGTTTTGTTCCTCACATTTGAAGGCCACTGACGCTTTTTTTTCTTTCCTCCATAGTAAAAATCTAACCTGGAGGGACATGCAGCATCTGGTTGTGAGGACGTCCAACCCTGCCCACCTCACCACCAATGACTGGAAGATAAATGGAGTGGGTCGGCGAGGTAAAAACCCATCTCGATCATTTCACAGCTCCATTCTTTTTTTTCCCTCCGTCTGCTTTTTCTTTCCACTTCTCAGATACTTGAACGTTTTGTGGCGCGATCGATAGTGTTATCGTTGGACGCACCAATCAGCAAACGGCTCCGGATCTCTTAAAGATCTCAACCTCATTAATTCAGCTCTTATTATGTCAGTCTTTTAAAAGTGCCTCTATTGTTACTTTCAACAGTATTGATTTTTTTTTTTCTCCTACAGTAAGCCATTCTTATGGATATGGTCTGCTGGACGCTGGGGCCATTGTAGCCTTAGCAAAGAACTGGACAAATGTGGGACCTCAGCATAAATGTGTCCTTTCCCTGGTGTCTGAGCCCAGGTAGGTTAAAACACTCCTTAGTTGATGAGTCTTTTAAAGGGATTAGTTCAACTACATGTCATTTTATGCGTCCATGTTAGACTGAATGTCAATTCTGTGGCTTTCTATATAATGAATCCTTTTCGTGAGCAGAGACTGCCAATGTTAATACACAAAGATGTAAACATATAAACTCCATTATTAAAGATGGCCACTTTATTAGGTACACCTGTCCAACTGCACAAATTTCTAATCAGCCAATCACATGGCAGCAACTCAATGCATTTAGGCATGTAGACATGGTCAAGACGATCCGCTGCAGTTCAAACCGAGCATCAGAATAGGGAAAAAGGGTGACTTTAAACGTGACAGTGGGCTGGTCTGAGTATTTCAGTAACTGCTGATCTACTATGATTTTCAAGCACAATCATCTCTAGGGTTTACAGAGAATGGTCCGAAAAAGAGAAAATATCCAGTGAGCGGCAGTTCTGTGGGCGCAAATGCCTTGTTGATGCCAGAGGTCAGAGGAGAATGGCCAGACTGGTTTGAGCTGATAGAAAGACAATAGTAACTCAAATAACCACTCGTTACAACCGAGGTATGCAGAAGAGCATCTCTGAACTCTCAACATTTCAAACCTTCAGGCGGATGATGCACAAGCAGCAGAAGAGCACACCAGGTGCCACTCCTGTCAGCTAAGAACAGGAGGCTAAGGCTAAAATTTGCACTGGCTCACCAAAATTGAACAATAGAAGATTGCAAAAATGTTGCCTGCTCTGAGTCTTGATTTTTGCTACAACACTCAAAGATGGTTGGGGCAAGAACTTGGCGTCAACAACATGAAAGCATAGATCTATCCTGCCTTGTATCAATCGTTCAGGCTAGTGGTGGAGTAATTGTGTTTGGGATATTTTCTTGGCACACTTTGGACGCATTACTACCAATTGAGCACTGTGTTAACGTCACAGCCCACCTGAGTATTGTTGCTGACCATGTCCATCCCTTTATGACCACAGTGTACACATCTTCTGATGGCTACTTCCAGCAGGATAACGCACCATAACAAAGTGCGAATCAGACTCAGACTGGTTTCTTGAACCTGCCAATGAGTTCACTGTACTCTAATGGCCTCCACAGTCACCAGATTTCAATCCAATAGAGCATCTTTGGGATGTGGTGGAACGGGAGATTTGTATCATGAATGCGCAGCCAACAAATCTACAGCAACTGCGTGATGCTATCATGTCAATATAGACCAAAATCTCTGTGGAATATTTCCAGTACCTTATTGAACCTATCCTACGAAGGATTTAGGCTGTTCTGAAGGCAAAAATGTGCAAAACAGTGATATCGCATAAATGTATTCAAAATAAATGCTCTGTTTTTATCCAATGAGTCAAAGAGAACAAAATCGTCACTTCCTGGTCATTTATTTCTGATAATTTAATTTACTTTATACAAATACTATTTATTTTTTCAGTTTGTTTTTAGTATTCATTGATGATTATAAAACTCAACATATTTTGCATCCTTCAACAGATATGTTTACATCTAAAGATGTGATTTAAATTTATGTGCAAAACAGAAACATCACATAAAAGTATAAAAATAAATTCACCATCCAAGGAGTCTAAGAGAACAAAATCACTTCCTGATCATTTAATTCATCCTTGATAAGTTATTTGTTAGTTGTTGTTTTTTTTGAATAGTACAGTACAAACATTCTGCAAAACGTCTTTTGAGTTCCACAAGAGGGAGTGAGTCGTACAGCTTTGGAACCACATAAAGGCGACTAAATAATAACAGACTTTTAGTTTTGGTGTGACCTGAACCCTCGGTCCTAAATTAAACTTTAGCCCTAATTGATTCTTCACTAACATGTGGCATGCTGAGGTTTTGTAGTGCACGCGACTGCCATCAAATTTTAAATGACGTGCTGCTAAAAAAAGGTCACTGAGTGCAAGAGGGACCAGGAATAAAAAACGAGGCAGGAGCAAAACACGACTTTTGATGGTCTATCACATTTAAATTTAGAGCCGCACACATCTTGAGTGATGCTTCAGCGCATGAGGGATCTCAGCTGCCTGCAGAGCATGTTTACAGGAAGTAATGACTTGCAGATAAGCTCGTTACGTCCACGTTCGTCACACTTCCATCACCGCAAGACATCCTGGAAGCCAATATGGACCCTCAAAGTGCTTCTCCTTCAATCTCGTCCCTTTAAAAATGCACCCTCTTTTTATCCCATCCTTTATGGTTCACCAGACATTACGGAAAGATCAAGGGGGTTTGAGGAGCAAAGCCCAATTTAACATGCCGGTTGCAGAAATCACAGAGCCAAGTGATTATGGCTGCCTCGCTTCGCCTCTGCCATGCATTTCTTTCTTTTTTTTTTTTCTTTCACTTGCAGCATCACTGAGTTGAAGTACAGCTCCTGGTACGCTTCATTCCTCATGGAGTTGTTGGTGGCTGTAGGCTGTTGTTGTGTCTCTTGATTTAAGCTCTTCTTCCAGAGTAACCATGCCTCTGGTGAGCAGGGACGGGTCGCTTTAAGCTCCTTACGGGATTGGGTTTTAGACTTCCAAAAGCCCTACCGTCTCTTTCAGCGGTCATCGCTGGCACACTTAACCTTGCTCAAGATTTCTGATGAACAATATATTAGTTTTTACTGATGTTATCATAAGCGATCATTCAAAAATTTCTAGTTAAAATACAGAAAAAGAAAAGGTATTATTTTGAAATTGCGAGTCATTGTTTTCTGTGCACTTTTAGTGCTCTTTGATTATAAAGTTCAACATGTTTTTCAATTGCCTTGTTTCCATCCAAAGATGCAAAATAAATTTAGGAACAAAATCGGAATATTGCATAAAAGAATAATGCAGTGTTTCCATCAATGACTCAAGGGGGGCTCTTTTTTAACGGTCTAGGCGCAAAGTCTAAAGCGCATGGTGCAAAAGCATTAAGGGCATGTCCGAATTCAATTTTGTTTTTTTTAAGGATTTAAAAATACGATCTGCACCCCGGCGCATGGTCTAACAGGGTTGTGCTTATTCTCTTGATGAATTATTTTATTTATAAATTTTTTTTGTTCAGTTTATTTGTTTACAGGGTCAATGCACATTAATAAACATGACTGTAAAATGTGCCAGAATTATGCCAAGAATGGCTATTTTTCATCTGTAGACCCCTTACAGAATGTTAAAAAGTCACACCTAAAATAGAAGCACAGCATAAAACACACTTTCATATATTAATTACATTTTGAAAAGTATAAAACAAAAACAGACTGACGGCAGCAGAAGAGGACAAAAAAGCCAAAGACGAACAGTACAAAGAAGTGTCAAGAATAAGTTATGAGTGTGTTTTGAGCATAAATCAATCAAAGTCTGAATCAAAGTTTTGTTTAAGCGCAAAGATTTATTTCAAAACTATTTCTAAATTCAGTTCTAATTTCCAGTAAACGAATAAATGAACAATACTAACAAAGTGTGGTCAAAAAAATATAAGATATAAGAGTTGTATCCACGTACACGTCCAATTCTTATGACCCATATGGTGATGCATATGTCTCCAAAAAACGACAGGGGGAAAAATCAAAACTTTAATTATTTAAAACGATTATAAATATGCATATAATAAATAATGCCACTTCAACTAATAATATTATAATAATGCAAGCATCTCGAGGTAAAGAAGTCTTGGAGGTAATTTATTTATTTATTTTTTGTATTTATGTAAAAAAAAAAAAAAATTGTAACATTGTAATTCTTTAAATTTTTTCATATGTAAAGATATTTCTGTATTGCTTATATGATGTGTAAGCATTTGGACCTGCGTAGGCACGTAACTAACACGCTCTCTGCGCTGGACTTTAGAGCAGCTTTGAGTTGGTCAATGGTGCGGTCTATTTCAGTTCCTCAAAATAGCAATGTGCCAATGTACCTTAACTAGTGGTAGGCCGTTATCGGCATTATTGTGCTGCGTTAACATGAGACTCCTATTGGGCAATTAATAAAATATCGCCGTTAATGTATTCTCAAAGTTGGGTTGGGAGCGGGGCCTTTTCTACGCAAGCTATGATGACTTTCACTTTCACCTGACCGGTGAGCCGTCTGACAAAAAAGTGCCCTTCTGAATCAAATCAGCAGGATGCCCTTCTGAATCTTTCACTTACTTCGAAGACACTACTGACTACACTTACATGGACATCTGTAATCTAGTTATTTGCCTTAATATACAATTATATAATTAAGGTGTTTACATGAAGTGCTTTCATGTAAGAGTTTGCTGTAATTTTGGGTGATTTTAAACTGCAGTTCGGCAGTTTAACTTTCACTCATGAACATTTCATTCATGCCCCCGTGACAAACTGGGGGTATTAGACGCAAATAAGGAGTAAGGACTGGTGGAAGAGTGTTATGAAATTTTGTGTTATGAAACTTTGAGCTGTTGCATGACTCGCACCTCTCAAAAAAAATAAAAAATAAATAAAACAAGACAACGCGTAGCGCAAGCTCTGTGATTGATCAGCTTGATAGTGCTGATGAAAGTGAGCAGTGTGGAGCGCAACGCAAAGTAGGGGTCACGCCGATCGCTCAACACAGAAGTATAAATCAGCTAGCCTGAGGATGATTTCTACTTCTGTGTCCACTTTTGCAGCCACATCTGATCTCTAGTCAAGTAAGGTGATAAACCCATTCTTGTGCCTTACTTTGCACTACATTGATGATGATTAGAAGCTGCGCCAGAGATGCCTTAAGACAGCATCATTTCCATAACATTGAAATTATTATTAACATTAAAATATTTGTTTACAGAAGTTAGTTTTAGGCAATGTGTGTTTAATTTTCAGTTTTTCAATATTAATGTTCAATAAATAATTATGGATAGTAGATGATGTGCGTTTCCTTTAATTGTTTTAAAATCAAGTAATGCACCCTTCATTCACAAATATCTCAATTTTAATTACAATTAATTTAATTACAAACCTGTCAGTAAACTATAAGGAAATAAATGAATAAATAAATAACTCATTAATCGTAATCGAGTTAAAATTTTCAATTAATCGAGATTTTGATTTTAGGCCAAATCGCCTATCCCTAAACTCAGAAAACTTAAGGTTATTACTTACTATAATCTTTATTAGTTGCTAATAACTTTAACTAATTAACCAGTTACTAATAGCTTTTAACACCTAAAGTTTTATTTATATATATATATATATATATATATATATATATATATATATATATATATATACGTATAAACATAGTTAACCTGCAGTTATATAGTATATAGGTAATGTCTATGTGTGCATGTTCAGTGTACGTTTAAGTGTATGTGTATATGCATAATCTATGTTTGTAGAAGCATAAGGTTCATTGTGTTTAGCTGTCAGTTCTTAACACTTTTCTTTTATCATTCTATTTGTCTGTTTTAGGAATATCGGGAGTTATTTGGTCATCAACAAGACTGTGGATGCGTGTACTGGGATGGCCAACTTTGTGAGCTCATTAGAGCATGTTCAAGCGCAGCTGACACTGTCCTACAACCGCAGAGGAAACCTGGCCATCTATCTGATCAGCCCACAGGGGACCCGCTCCACACTGCTTCCTCCCAGGTAAAAATCCTAGAGAGCTACAGTCACACTCATGATATTAAACTCAATTCAATTCAAGTTAATTTGTGTAGAGCTTTTTACAATAGTTATTGGCCTAGAGCAGCTTTATAAAAGGTGTCTGGTATTACATCAATCAAACAATCAAACAGAAAAAAGTTTAGGTCTAAGTAGAGTGCAAATACATAGTTAATCAACAATTATACAATATAATGTACTGTAATGTGAAATGTTCAAAAAGGGATCTGTATTCTGTTCTATTTACTGAACTGTGTAGTGTTGGGTGTAATTACTTACAAAGTAACTAATTACTGTAATTAAATAACCTTTCTGCTTAAAGTAAACCAAGAAATTACCTTTAATTTGAGGTAATTTAATTACAGTTCCTCATAATGTACTTGACTTAAATACTGTACATAAATGTAACTGTAAAGTCTGTGAAGCCGAGTAATATATACACTCACAAGCACTTTATTAGGTACACCTGTCTAACTGCTCGTTAACACATTTCTAATCAGCCAGTTACATGGCAGCAACTCAGGAATGGTCCTAAAAAGAGAAAATATCCAGTGAGCGGCAGTTCTGTAAGCACAAATGCCAGAGATCAGAGGAGAATGGCCAGACTGGTTGCAATTGATAGAAAGACAACAGTAATTTAAAAAACCACTCATCACAATCAAGGTATGCAGAAGAGCATCTCTGAACCCACAACACATCCAACCTTGTGGCGGATGGGCTACAGCAGCAGAAGACAGCACCAGGTGCCACCAAGTACTCAACTGAGGATACAATTAGGGCCGGAGCAAGCTGAACTACCGCTCTAGGCAGAGGACAGTCACGCCGCCCTCAACCCCAATGTGAAAACGAAAGTGACCGGTTATGAAAATGAAGTGAGGTGTCGCGGACCTCTATTCTGCCGCCCTATGCGCGGATATAACTGAGGACGTGCGGCTGCTGAGGGAGGGAGGGTGGTGTTGTGGATGCCGGCCTCTCTATTCTGCCGCCCTATTCACGGATATAACGGAGGACGCACGGGTGTTGCGGACCTCTATTCTGCCGCCCTATGCACGGATATAACTGAGGACACGCGGGTGCTGATGGAGGTGTCGTCTATGCACGAATATATCTGAGGACGCGGGTGGTGAGGGAGGTGTCGCGGACAAAACTGAGGACGCGGGTGGTGAGGGAGGTGTGGCGGACATAACTGAGGTAGTAAGGGAGGTGTCGAGGATGCCCCCCTCTCTATACTGCCGCCCTAGGCAGCCGCCTAGGTCGCCTCTATGGATGCGCCGGCCCTGGATACAATTCACACAGGCTCAAAAAAATTGGACAAGAAAAGATTGGAAAAATGTTCCCTGGTCTGATGAGTCTTGATTTCTGCTGTGACATTCGGATGGTAGGGTCAAAATTTGGTGTCAATGTTTGGTGTAATGATGTGGGGGATATTTTCTTGGCACAATTTGGGCCCATTAGTAACAATTGAGCATTGTGTCAATTCCACAGTCTACCTCAGTATTGTTGCTGACCATGTCCAACCCTTCATGGCCACAGTGTACTCATCTTCTGATAGCTACTTCCACAGGATAACGCACCATATCATAAAGCGTGACTCATCTCAGACTGGTTTCTTGAACATGACGATGAGTTCACTGTACTCAAATGGCCTCCACAGTCACCAAATCCTCCAATAGATCACCTTTGGGATGTGGTGGAACAGAAGATTCACATCATTGATGTGCAGCCGACAAATCTGCAGAAACTTTGTGATTCTGTCATGTCAATATGGACCAAAATCTCTAAGAAATATTTCCAGTACCTTGTTGAATCTATGCCACAAAGGATTAGGACAGTTCTAAAGGTAAAAGGGGGTCCAACCCAGTCCTAGTAAGTTGTACCTAATAAAGTAGCCGGTGAGTTTTAAAAGCTTAAGACTTTTAAAAGGAATTCATGACATTATAAAATATAAATTCAGAGAAGCAGAGTAATCCAATAAATGAATAAATGAATATCAAATATTTTCCATGACGTCATTTTTCACTGAATATTTTTTAATTTGGCCAACAATGGTGCACATGGTGTGTCATTATATGAGATATAGTGTCATTCATTTGAAACAATTTTTTTTTATACATATAGTTAAAAATGTCATTTTTAAAAAAAGCTAAAATGTACTGTTTGACTCCAATTTGAAGATTTAACATTTTAATTTGTGTCGATCTTCATGTGCATTTTAGTATCGAGTCAAGTAATTAAATGATTTCTTGTGTAACAAGTTATGTTTTAGACAAACTAATTAGAAAAACAATTTAAAATCAGTTTATAAAGCATGTAATTATTATTAATAATTGTATTAATATTATTATTGTTTTACCAGGAAAAACACATTGAGATTAAAAAATCTCTTTAAAAGAGCGTCCTGGTCCCGATTAGGCAGTATACATCTCACATGGGTCTAACGGACAACAAACAAAAACAATTAACAGTTAACAAACTATTCAAAACATCTACAAGCCTGTTTCAATTCCTAAATCATTTATACTCTTTCTAAAAGCATTTATTGAAATCAATTCTTTGAACTGCAACTGTGTTTGCAGATTATTCCATGCAAAATGTGCTGCTTATTTAAAAGCCTTTTTTATAATTAATGATTTTTGTGACTTTTCAACACTGATTGTGTTTTTATAATGCACTTCTAATGTGATCAGCGTCACACATGAAACATTCTCTCCCTCAGACCTCACGATTACTCCTCTGAGGGCTTCAATGACTGGGCTTTCATGACCACCCACTCCTGGGATGAAGACCCTCGTGGAGAATGGACGCTGGAGATCAAAAACGTGGCTGGAACCAGTGACTATGGTAACATACATGTTGAACCTCTTTTATTTTTTTTCTTCTGCTGCTTTGAGCCTTTGGTTTCATGCAGGAGATACAAGCTAAAGTTTGCAGAAGTTTCCATGTTCTGCACTCGACAAAAACACAGGAGTATCTTCCCTCTGAATCTGCAGGATTAGCCCAATCCTCTTCTCTTCCTCTTTTATGTCACAGTTCATTTGTCTTCCTTTGCAGTAAATCTGATTAATGAAATCTCGTTAAGTAAATCAGAGGGCCGCGTTTTCCCTCGCCCTCCCACTATCACGTTCTCCAGAACACTGTAAATATAGAGCCAGAGCTCATTCATTTGTGCTGCTCAGACACTAACACAGCTGCTTTATGTCTGCGCTGAAAGGAGCATTCGTCCAGCGCATTACCGACTCCATTTCTCTTTGTTGCTTTAAGAATTTACTGAGCTTCTGACTTTATGGGACTGTAGAGGCAAAGCGCTCCATCTATCTAATGCATGCGGCTCTACTGTTACTGTATCAGAGAGTAACAAGACTGCTGTTCCACAACACCAGCTGAATGAGTGGAGTAATGGAAACAGTAATGATAACAGGATCTTCAGATTAGACCAAGATTTAGATGATGTGTAGAAATATGGAAGATACCAGCACACACACACACACACACACACACACACACACACACACACACACACTCAGTCAAGCTTCGGCTGGCTCAGTTGGCATTTCCATGTGGAGTTTGCATGTTCACCCCATGTTAGTGTGGGTTTCCTCCGGATTTTGGTGGTTCATTCTGCTGTGGTGACCTCTGAAGTAGAGACTAAGCCGAAGGAAAATGAATGAATGAATAAATAATACAAATATAAATGTAAGTTGACAGTGTCTGGGACCTGGATAATTTGCATATAATAACCCACTGATATTGATTTGATTTATTTATTTTCAAACAAAAATTTCATAATAATAACAATAATAATAATAATTTCTTACATTTATATAGCGCTTTTCTGGGCACTCAAAGCGCTTTAGACTCAATGGGGGGAATCTCCTCATCCACCACCAGTGTGCAGCATCCACCTGGATGATGTGACGGCAGCCATTTTGCACCAGACTGCACACCACACACCAGCTGATTGGTGGAGAGGAGACAGCGATGAAGCCAATTGGAATATGGGGATGGTTAGGAGGCCATGATGGACAAAGGCCAGTGGGCAGATTTGGCCTGGATGCCGGGGTTAAACCCCTACTCTTTTCGAAGGACATCCTGGGATTTTTAACGACCACAGAGAGTCGGGACCTCGGTTTAACGTCTCATCCGAAAGACGGCGCTCACTGAGCAGTATAGCGTCCCCGTCACTATACTGGGGCATTAGGACCCACACAGACCGCAGGTTGGGCGCCCCCTGCTGGCCTCACTAACACCACTTCCGGCAGCAACCTAGCTTTCCCATGTGGTCTCCCATCCAGGTACTGACCGGGCACAGCCCTGCTTAGCTTCAGTGGGCGACCATGTGAGAGTTGCAGAGAGCTAGCTGCCGGCCGTACATAAACTCATACATAAAATATCATTAACAAAAAATAAATTTCAACATGGTCGAAAAAAAATGGGATGAAGCAACAAGCTTATTATTTTCCCATCCCATTACTACATACATCATTCGTCTATTACTTATTTCTTCTTTAACTTATCTCTTCTTTTTACATGAGACATATTTTATCCTTTTGATTCCATTTGTACCTTCACATCTTTTAACATAGACCCAAAGAAAAAAAAATACATAGTACTGCAAATAGCCATTAATTAAAATGTCATCATAACTTTCTCATTTTATCCTTTTTCAATCACCTCCAGCATTATTTTACTTTAATATAATGGTCTATTTATACAACTTTTTTAAATTGAATAATATCCTGACATTGTTTGAGAGTCTGATCTAGACTGTTCCATAATTTCACACCAGACGGACAGACATACACAAACTTTTTACACATGTCCTTGTCTTCAACCTCCTAAAATTTAGTTCTTCTCTCAGATTATATCCCCCTTGTCTTTCTTCAAAAACCTTTTGTATGCATTTCAGAAGTAATTTATTCCTAGCTTTAAACCTAAACTGTGCTGTTTTAAATTTAACCAAATTATTGAACTTGAGTATTTTTAATTAAAAAATAAAGGATTTGTTTGCTCAGAGTACCCCACATTTTCTATCAGTCTAATTACTTTTTTCTGCATTGTACGTATGTATTCCCCCAAATTTTAACACAATAACTCATATATGGCAACATAAGTGTGTTATATAATATATATATTGATTTACTGTCCAGGATAAATCTTGCTTTATACACTATTGATACCGTTTTTACTAATTTTGATTTTACATTATTTATTTGCGGTTTTATGATCCAATAAAACACCAAGAAACATAATTGCAAATACTGTACCATTTCTATAACTTCATTATCAAATTTTTAAATCTATATTCTGACTATTTAATTTAAATAACATAATCTTTGTTTTATTTGTATTTAATGACAATTAGTTTACGTCAAACCATAATTTCAATGTATTAATTTCTGTTTTAATCAACTCCATAAGTTTTGGTAAATTATCCCCAGAACAATTGCAATTCTGTTGTAATTCTTTCATTCATTTTCTTGTTGGCTTAGTCCCTTTATTTATCCGGGGTCGTCACAGCAGAATGAACCGCCAACTTATTCAGCAAGTTTATACGCAGCGGATGCCATTCCAGCAGCAACCCATCTCTGGGAAACATTTACACAAACACTGATACACTACAGACACTTCAGCCTACCCAATTCACCTGTACCACATGTCGTTGGACTGCGGGGGGAAACCGGAGCACCCGGAGGAAACCCACGCGAACACAGGGAGAACATGCAAACTCCACACAGAAACGCCAACTGAGCTGAGGCTCGAACCAGCGACCTTCTTGCTGTGAGGCGACAGCACTACCTACTGCGCCACTGCCTCGCCCCTATTTTAAGTCAATTACAATTATTACAATTCTATTATCTCTAATATATTGTGTCAACCATCTAATCTACTAATAAACAATGGCAAATCTACAATAAAGCCGCTCAAATCTGATGTTTTCGTTTGTACAGATAAGCGATTTTATATTTTTATACTTTGTACTTTTTGTCAACAGCCACATACTCTGCTGAAAGACTGTTAATATTTTATATTTGCATTTTATTTTCTATTGCCTTTCTATTTCTGTAAAATTTATATTCCTATGATTATATTTTTGTCATTGTTGTTATTTTAAGGTCATGACTAGTTGTGTAAGCATTTCACTGCACTGACAAATAAAAAAACGAAATTGTAATGTAAATCTAATGATTATTTGTTTATAAGAGTAATACGAGGAATCTGAAAATAATAGATTAAAAAATAAAAATAAACAAACTTACTCATACATATTCTACACACAAAACAAATGTAACCATACTTCCTTTGTAAGCTGACAGCATTTGCGGATGGAATAAATGTGAATATAGCCTTCTGTTACAGAGTCATCACAGACATGATGATTTACAACTGTTGTTAAACTGTGACTTTCTGCAGTACATGAATCAGATTGATGAATTTCTGTGTGTGTCTCAGGCACCCTGACTCAGTTCACGCTGGTTCTCTACGGCACAGCTTCTAGTTTATCCCGCTCCTCAACGGCAGGCTCCAGCCAGACAGCAGACAGCAGCTGCAAAACCTACGACCTCAATCAGATCTGCACAGGTGAGAGTCACACCAACTGATGGTGGAAGAAGTGCGCCCCCTGGCCACTACTATTGGTATTTACCAGCTGTCTTCAATAACTCTTCAATAACCTGAAGTTTAATCTACAATACTGATCATTCTCTTTCTGTGTGATGCGTGGGAGTAAATTTCATTTAACAGTAGGGGGGGATGATAAATATTAAATTTTATCATGACACAAATAATACAGGCAAATTTTACGTATATAAATGTACAAAACTGTCCATGTTAATTAAGACACTTAAGGAGAGAATAGAAATTGATTATACAAAAATTAACAGTGGCATGAGTTCAGACGTAGCACAGTGCTTATTTAATAAATGCACAGCTAAACAATATGCCAATTGTGGCCGTTAATGTGAAGTTAACACTGTGCCAAGTCATCACAAACAATGCATGGGAAACGGCTTTGGTGTGTTAGTCGCAGTGCACTATGCAGCAAGCTATTGTAAACAAGCTAACGTTAACTAGATATGTGATGAATGAGTCTGCATCAACTATATGAAAGAGAATCACTTTATTTACAGTGAGTAAAATACCCTACTTACTGGAGTTCAGCAATAACTGAGCCACAGCAACACAACTGACTTGTGTATAGAGCTGGTGAGATGAACTGGGAAAGCATGCAGTGAGCCAAATCACTGTGAGGAAGGGGAGGGGGAACTCGAGTGTTTCTAAATGCATTTGTTGCATTTTTTTTTCCCGCTTGCACAATATCTTTAGGTATATATACATATTTTTTTCAAGAGTTCACACTTCCCTGATGATTGCTTATAAGCTAGTTTGGCATGCTGTCCCAGGAGAGAGTCCTGAGCTCATGAAATCCTCGAGCCCGGGGCTCCCTCCCATTTGCAGGGCGAGAGGGAAGTTTGAGCTCAGATAGATCTCAAAAACCCCCCGCCTCCTGCTGCTTAAGGATTGCTATGAGGGTGTGCTGCTGGTGGAATTTGACTACGGTGATGATTTGGTTTAGTCAGTTTACCCATGTCTCATGTTTTGGATTGTGGGAGGAAACCGAAGAACCCGGGAAAAACCCACAAGAGCGCGGGGAGAGCATGAACTCCACACAGAAATGCCTGGGTAGAGACCCAAACCAGAGTCATTCTTGCTGTGAGGCCACAGTGCTAGCCACTGGGTTGCCGTGCTGCCCTATAGAGGAAAAAGAGGGGGAGAGGGGGTGGAAGGTTCTTCAAGATGAAGATGACTAAAAGAAAGATGCTCTGTTATTTATACTGAGTTAGGAATCGTCTGATTGATGGTTCGTAAATTAGCTTGACTCGGGGCCAGCTGTGTCAATCATAAGCACGTGATTCTCTCGAAATTAGTTTATAAATAAACTTCACAAAGTATTCTTTTGGGGGAAGTGGGGGACGACCCTTTGATGAGGGGGGACACGTCCCTTCCATCCCCCTGGGATTTACGCCTGTGGTGTGATGGATTATTGTGGAATTATCAGGGAATTATGCAGTATGTAAAAAGTGCAGTTTACTATTAATGCACATTATTTTCAGTCCATTGATTATTTAACAAAATGAAACCATACTCCTGTACAGTCATCTACTCATTTAAAAAATATTGAAATTTTACTAAATTTTGAAATATAATTTTTTTTTTGTAATTCTGCAATGCAGTGTTGAGTGATAACTAGGCCCACATAAAATCTCTGTGCATATACATCATTTATATATCCATTTATCTGCCAAGGAAATGGGAGTAAATATAAATTTGTTCAGTTTTTATATTAATTTTAGTTATTTTAATGATAAAAATATGCAAATGTTTATATGGTTTATGTACAATAGTGTGTAAAGTAGTTAGTAGATAAATTAAAGACTTACTGTGGAAAAAATGCTAATTGGATTTGCATTGTAATCCTTAAGTTATTTTTATTTCAGATGTTAAGTTCTTGGTTACTATTGTTGCAAGTTTTGGACAAAATTCTGCACAGAAATAGCATACAAATATATATATATATATATATATATGTATGTATGTATGTATGTATGTATGTATGTATGTATGTATGTATGTATGTATGTATGTATGTATGTGTATATATTATGTGTGTTTGTGTGTGTGTGTGTGTGTGTTGTCATTTTTATTTATTTATTTATTTTTGAATGGTAGTTAGTACAAAATAAATACGCGTCAGTATGAGGCTATTAAAATTCCCTTTAAAAACTGTTGCGACGTCAGACCGAATTTGCGTCCTATCTATCCTAAATAATATAAGAATTAAAATACTGTTGCATTATGAAGTTATGAATATAATAGTGGTGGCCAGATGGTTGTCTATATTCTGATTCATGCACTCTCTCTGCTAATATTGGCCACAGCTCATCATGTGTTGAATGAGGAATAGATTAACACGAATATAAAAGTGTCAGAAATGTACAAATGAGGCAGATGGTTGAGTAAAGAGATAAAACAATGCATCAATAGTCCACATCTAACCTCCTGGAACACATCATTTAAAGCTGTCTGTTTGATTTGGTGTGCATTAACTGCATTGAGAATCTCATGACCTTAAATCTGCTAGTGAGTGATTTTACTAAACACTTCCACTAATTAAATAACCTCCTCAATGGTTAACAGCTTTAATCTGAAG